AGAATATATATCTTGAATAAAGCAATTATTTTAAATATTTTTAAAATAATTATTTCACACCCCCTTGACAAACTTTTTTTTATTTAGCTAATAAAAAAAACGTATTTATTATTTATATATACTTAAAACGAGACAGCAATTTACATTTGGGATAGGAGCAATTAACCTAACTCAAGACTTATTCTCTGAAAACAAATACTAACTTAACATCTAACGAAACGTACAATTTTGCTTATGTATGTTAAAGAAAATGACTAATTAAATGATTTTCTGCAGTGCACAAAATGAGTTCAGGGGGATTTAGGTCTCATAACGGCTGACAGCACAGTGATGCATAGATATGTTTTTAATTTCCGAGTTCTGTATTTTTAGGATCTCAGCGTCAGAGAAAATGTTTAAATCCATAGCACGGCTCTTAAGGCACTCAGCAGTCCCAGATCAAGCTCACAATGTATTAGAGATGCAAAGCAACCCTCTACATTGCGAGTAAATCACTCGCATATGCGACTAAACCTTCACTCTGGCGACTAAATGATGTCTAATATTAGCCAATTGCTAATACATTCTCAGATTTTACTCGCCAGTGTGTGAGTTGGAGGCTAAGTATAAGTTTAGCTCAGATATATTTTCACTCGCCGAACACTCTCTGACTGAGCACTTCAGAGTTTCACTCTCCGCTAAGCGATCTGTGCTGTTTTTCAGTTCATCTGAATGGATGTGCGAACGCACACGACCGGATTAATATTCATGAATCCAGTAGCTCATTAATCCCTGGTGCGTTTTATATTGTTCTTATTAGTAGAATTTGTATCATTATTATCTAAGCAGTATTTTTGGTAGGTTTCCCCCAAATTTATTATTATTATTTTTTTTTTACAGAAACACTGAATGACCAAAAAAGCACCACCACCAGTCCGAAGTTCAGTTAAAACGACTAATATGCATTCATACATGGTTATCAAGTTTTAATTCTAATTACAAAAGTTCTATCATTAAATAACATTGATTATCATATTATAATGCTTGACTGACTGATGTTAAGAGTGTACTTTCAGATATTTATAAAACTGTGCCATTTCACAAACAAATATATATATATTACTAGCCAATGGCGATTCAATTGCCAAGGTGTTCGTAGAGGGCTGCAAAGTAAAAAAAAAAAAACCCGCCTCTGATCCACATCCCATCTCACATCACGCTGGCCTACATTCAGCTTAATAAGAGTTTAAAAAAAGAGGAAAAAAAACTAAACTTCTGACTTCAAACTGGCCTGAGCTGTCAGTTAACACAAGAAATTTCAGTATAAAGCTTCCCATGCGATACCACAGGCAACTCAAAGGAGATATTTATTCTTCCTTTGACATCTGTGAGAATGTCAAGAGGTCAGGGAACACTTACGGATAACAACAAAGCTGAAAAGCTTTCACAATCAAAATGATCAACTTTTGAGATTCATAACATGGACTAAGGGTGAGAAACGCCCCGTTTGTTTAGAAAAAATACTGATTATTGTGTTTTAAAAGTCTCAGACACAATACTGGGAGCACTTGTAGACAATCACAATGAGAAATGAGACAGAGAGCAAGAAACGTCTGAAGAGGACAAAATGGAAGATGGAAGTAGGGATGATTTTAACAGTGTTATTCAATTTTTAGTGGTTTTTTTTTTTAGATTGAGAGTGTTACACAGCAGGAAAAGTTCACCTAAACATAAAAATGGGAAAATGAGCATGAACCATTAAAATCCAATATCAACAGATATATATGCAATATTAATCAATAAATAAAAATACCAGGAAATAAAAATCACTAGTACAAAACGAAAGAGATTGAGTGTGTTACACAGAGAAAGAAAAAAGAAAACGAGGGCAGACAGGCATTTGAGGGAGAGAGACGAAAAACTAAAAAGGGAGGACTAACTGCACCAGAAAATGTGACAGCAGGAATGAAGGGCGACTAGAGAGCAGGAGGACAACTTTTGAGGTATTCACACAAAAAACGAAAGCAGTTCACCCCTCCAGATGTAAGGAATGACTGGAATGTGTGGAGGAGGTTAAAGGGCCGAGAAAATGTTCATGAGCAGGTGAGCTGCAGACTTTACTTAGCAAATCCAAACAGACTCGGAAACACCCATACTGAGACTGCTATTGATTCTGTCTGCGGCACGACCACGGCTATTCCTCAACTCACACATGACCGCGCACACACACACACACACACACACACATTCAACCTAACTTTTAAAAACAGTTTTAGAAATAAAAAGTAATAAAATGAATGTGCAGGGATTAAAGTTCATAAATTTCCGTCAGTTCATAAAGACAGTCACTTGCTTCATTCCTGAATGATTCAGCCGTTCGAACGAATCAATTGAATGAATGATTCAGTGATAAAATCAGTGACTTGCCGCCACCTGCTGGCGGATTTAGTTAAATTTTTAGCGTATAATTTCAGTTATTTAAATCATATTTCTGTATTCAAAATTTTATATTTAAAACATTAATATCATCATGAATTTATGGATTTAATTGCACTCATGCTACCTCTGAGCCTCATTTTATTTGTCTTATTCTACTTCTTATTATGGGGTTAAAGCAAAAAAAAATATTTTGACTGAAAATTTTTCTGCGACCAAACCCCATTCCTCAGCCATACCTGTCACACACCCAGTTTAAGAGCAGTTTTTTTCTTCTTGTAATTAGGAGCGCTTGTCCTCCTAATTTAAAAATTTAGGAGCACCTTCTCATCAATAATCAAAAATTCTGATCAAAAATTAGCCTTCCTTATACGAGGTGACATTTGACTTAAAGTGACTTACAGGAGTATTTTCTTTTTACCTTTGTAATGGCATCATTTTCATCTGTCAAATTCAAAAATTGGCATTCTCTAGCCGTTGAGCATGCACCAGTTGTACACTTGTTTTTGCAGTGCATTGTGGGATTGAATGAGTGCACTCGAGAACGTCCACTATGGTTTCGGACACCACTAAAAATGGCTGTTCCCTCAAATAGTGCCCTATTTAAGGGTATAGGGGGCGATTTCGGACACAGCCACTGATTTTATCACTGAATCACATTCAATTGATTCGTACGAACGGCTGAATCATTCAGGAATGAAGCAAGTGACTGTCTTTATGAATCTAACATAAAACAGGTTTAATGTTTAATGATTTAATGATGAATTCATGTGGAGATTAATGTTTTAAATATACAATTTTGAATACAGAAATGCGATTCAAATAACTGAAATTATACGCTAAAAATGAAACTAAATCCGCCAGCAGGTGGCGGCAAGTCACTGGCTGTGTCCGAAATCGCCCCCTATACCCTCATTCACTATTCCCTACATTAGTCCACAAATACAGTTCACTTGAAGGAGTCGATGAAAACGAGTGAGTGAATTCGGACACTGAGTGCACCGGAAGGAATGGATTGAATGAGTGCACTCGAGAACGTCCACTATGGTTTCGGACACCACTAAAAATGGCTGTTCCCTCAAATAGTGCCCTATTTAAGGGTATAGGGGGCGATTTCGGACACAGCCACTGATTTTATCACTGAATCACATTCAATTGATTCGTACGAACGGCTGAATCATTCAGGAATGAAGCAAGTGACTGTCTTTATGAACTGACGGAAATCCGTCGTAGTGACGTAACTTTAATCCCTGAGTGTGTCAGGAAAAGCGAAGAGACTCGTGTGAAGTGTTTGGACAGTTGCAGCAGGTGATCATAGCGACGGTCTGAATCCAAGAGAAAGGAGAGAGATGGCGAGAGAAAGAGGAGAGGGAGGGATCGGATAAAAAGGAAACATGCTTGCTTCACAGTCGAGGAAGAATTTCTCTCTGCAAACATCCCTGGGAATGTTTAACGTTCCAGTGAAACCCACCTCATCATTCCACCATCTGGAATGTATCTCCCTCTCTCTCGGTGTATGGAAGTCTCTCTCTCACACACACTCAGCCTTTAACTCCTCGTCCTCGCACAACTCTATTAACTGACATTAAGCAACGGAGCCTGTATTAGAGATGAATTCAAAGAACTAGTAACAGAGCATTTATGAACGAGTACAAAAAAATGAAAAATATGCATAAACTATGAGTGAAAACAACTGAATTATGAGCACAGTAGCATTTAGCATTTACTGCTCTTCTAAAAGACTTGGAGCAGACACTTAAAGGAACTGCTGAAAATTCTCTTTACCCTCAAGATGTAGATGAGTTTGTTTCTTCATGGGAACAGATTCGGAGAATTGTATCATTACATAATTTGCTCACCAATAGATCCTCTGCAGTGAATGGGTGCCGTCAGAATGAGACCATAGACTGTATAAAAACATGGACGTAGTGTCCGTGACGTCACCCGTAGGTTCCTGAAGAGGTTTTTGAAGCCTAAAGTAGGCGGAGCCGGCCGTCGCCATCTTGGCAGCGTGTCACCACGCGTCACTCCCGGATAATCGAAAATGGGCAAAAAGGCGGGAGCTGGTTGCTGAAACCACGCCCACCTAGCTCGACGGTGGTGACAGCAGCGGCAGT